AGTCATATCTTATCCTAATCCTATGTGAACCATGTTTAGCTTAACAATTTAAAAAAACTAATATTAATAAAATATATAAAACATAAAAATGATATTAGTTTGTTAAGATAAAGAAATTACAAGTATATAACATATTATAATACATGAAGTATTGCAAAAAAAACCATAAAAAGTTTTAAAATTACAGAAAAGACCCTAAAAAGTTCAAAATTATAAAACTCATCCAAATGTCTCAAAACTTAAAATAAAAAATATGAAATTAAAAAATTAACATCATTTTGCAAAGAATTTAAAATTTACAGTTAACACCTCAATGTCTCAAAAATTATAGAAACACCCTCAAAAGTTTAAATTACAAACAAGCACATTAAAATTCTAAAATTTTAAAACTTACAAACAACACAGATGAATTCAAGAGATTACCATGATACACCTAAAATTTTTGACATTTAAATTTAAATTTTTTAATTAACACCCTTAATATCTCAAAAATTATAGAAACACCTTCAAAAGTTCAAATTAAAAAAAGCCACCCTAAAATTTTAAAATTTGTAAATAAAATAAGATGAATTCAATATATTACCTTTAGACACCTAAAAAATTAGAATTTGCCAAAATTAACGTCAAAATTTTTAAAAAACTCCTTCAAAATTTAAAAATCGTAAAAAAAACTCTAAATTTTCAAAATTTTTAACTAGCACACATCAAATTCGTCAATTGGTAGACCGCTGAAATTTAATGTTTTTCAAAATTAATCTATAGTTTTAATAATTACAAAAGACACCCTCAAAATTTTAGAGTTACAAGAAATATACTAACATTTAAAAAATTACCACCAACACATGAAACATAGAATTTACAACTACCAAACTTAAAAGTAAATTTTTTTAAAAACTCTTTCAAAATTTTAAAAATTATAAATCACACCCTCAAAGTTCAAAACCACAAAAATGGGCTAAAATTTTAAAACTTGGCAAAGAAAAGTGTAATTGTTTGGTATTTTTCATATATATATATATTAAAATTTCTAATTTAGGGATTTACTATCCATTTTCAGCATCTAAGAATAGTCTAAGTTGATACTGGTAAACAAAAACAATAAGAATTGATTAAAAACATCCGGTTAATGGATAAAATTTTTAAAAATATTATAGATTAAAAATTATCGGCACTATATAAATTAAAGTAATTTCATATAATTTTAGTAATAAGTTGGGGTAGCCAAAATACATTCGTAACATTAATTGATAGATGTTTAAATCCATAGAAATGATAAAACACTATAATATTATACCTTAGCATTAATTGATTTTAATTTAGAAACTTTAATCTTTGACGTTAATAATATTTATAGGGTAAAAGAATACAAGGAATTACATATGGAGAAACTATTAGAATATTTAGAGATAACTTTAAAAGAATTGAGTTATTTCCATTGCAAATGGGAAAGTGATGGAAATAAATCTAAAATTCAGAAAACGTCAATGAATCACTTGAATTGGCATTAACATAAGACATATCTATTAATGAAGCACTGAATGAGTTACATTAAAAAATAATTTAATAACTTTATCCTAATCAAAGAAAAAATCTCCATGGAAGACATAAGAAAAATTAGTAAGTATTCATAAATTCCATACTGTGTTCTTCAAATTAAATATTAAAATTATAATCTAAGAGAAATTGGTAATGAGTAATGCAAAGATTTAGTTTAGATCTTTATGGAAAATGACAGGGATAGAGCAAATGTAATATTATTGAAATAACAGAAATTCTTATTGGATGCACATCAGAAGAATTCATTTTAGAGGAAAATAAAGAGATAGCTTCTAATTTATTTAAGTAATAAATTAGGAACACAAAGAATTTTATATATATGAAATTAATATTTATTCTCATTGAAATAGAAAAAAAAATCAAAGTCTATATTTTGAGCAGTTTGTGTTGAACATCATAAGTACATTTGACTTCTTTGTAAAGTTAAATGAGATGATAAAAAATTAACGAGCCTAGGAAAGATATTAGCATAATAAATACAAAATTAGCTTGATGTCACAATTGATGTAGATGATGAATACATACTCTAGAATTGTCCGAGAAATGATAAATGATAAACCTGAAGAAGGATTGATCTTAACTCAATAAAAAATAAAATAGAAAAAATAAAAATAATATTTTATGAATATTTTATAGAATAGTTTAATTATTTTGAGTGAAATTAGGAATCTTTAGAAGGGAGTTTCATGAATTTTTTTAGTACTTTTATATTCTTATGTGGATGTTTTTATCATATAAAAGTATACTAGAGTTAGCATTAATCTTTAATTTATATTTTTTTATGAAGTCTATCAATGATTAGGAATAAACTTTATATTCTCTTTTGCATCGTTTTAACATACTTTAAATCAATCATTTTGCCATATTGGTTTTAAATATTCACCTTCCTTGTATAACACTATTTTAATATTTTTTTACTTTGCAATGCTATACTTTTTCAAATAAAGCTTAGTTTCATATCGGTAAAAAATAATATGAAAATTCAAATTATTTTTAAATTATATTTGTTTTTTGTCAATTCAAATATCAACTTGAAAATTTAAATTGGGTGTATCCCATTTAAACAAACATAAAAAAAATCGGGATGTAAGAGTTTAAAGAAAAAAATTAGCACAAACTGCCAAAAATACTTAATCATGATATTAAATCACGTGCATTGCACGTGTGTAAAAACTAGTAATGACAAAAACTAGTAGTAAAATAATTAGGATTAATTATGAACATACCCCTTGTTGTATCACCCAGTTGTAAAGAGTCTATCTATAGTTGTGAGTAGACCCTCTTTAGTTCTACTCGTTGCGAATAGACTCCCAATATTATTGACCCAAGTGCGATTACACGATATAGTGTGTTGAAATCTAAGTGACATTTTGTGGAAACCTAAAAGACAAAATATATGTGGACATTACTTTGTATGTGGACTATTAATTTCATGCCATTTTGTATTCCATCATGTATCTATAAATTGTACGATGAATGGAAATGGAATAGGGTTGAATAAAAGATTACAATTTCTCTTCTTCTCTTGTCTCTTGTCTCTTCTTTCATTTCTTTAGTATATTACAACACGTTATTAGCATGAGTGGCTCTAGCCGGTTCGTGATTATCGGTTCGTAGTAATAGATTTTTTAGGTGTACATCTTCTGCAAGGTAATAATACATTCGGCCTTTGTCTATTTACATGATATCAAGCTTTCCGTCGAATAATTATAATTATGTCCAGTATGATATGCAATTCTTTGGTTTAATATGTTATTAAATCATTTTGTGCTTACTTGAGGTAACTAACTGGTTGTATAACTGCAAATGTTTTTTTTTAGTATGAGTTATGATATTGTATCTTTAGTATGATTTCAAGTTGATGTACGTTTTGGGTTAATTTAACCTAAGATATATTTTCCGTATGCATCACTAGTTTTATCAGTGAAGTAGACATGTAATCTATTTTTTTAACCTAAGATATATTTTCCGTATGCATCACTAGTTTTATCAGTGAAGTAGACATGTAATCTATTTTTTTAAAGAAAATAGATTTACCAGCTATGTATTCCTCGTTGGACATTCTCATAACTGGTCTTGTAGAAGGAAATGCATACAGATTGTATGTTAATTGATTCGAATTATGTTCTTGTATGTTAATTGATTCGAATTATGTTCTATCCTATATGTTAATGTTAGTAAGGTGATCTGTACTTGATGCGGAAGTCATTCTATTAAATTCCCTTCTTACGTGATCTATATTTTTTTTATAGTTCCCCAAATATGTACTTGTCTGCAGGCTTCTTTCTATGTATGTCACCTAGATCTGTTGATTGATTACACTTTATTTAGAACTTAGAATATATTTATCTGGAAACGGTTATACACTACTTTTTAGAATTCACTTATAGCATGAGCTATATTTTAGGATGGCCTGGTTAATTTATTATATTTTAGGATGAGCTATATTTTAGGCTTCTTACTATTGTATTCCCATATGCTGCTTAGCCTGATGTTTCCTCCAATATTCAAGTATAATTGGTTATCCTCCATGATATTTACATTTGACCTTGTTTTTATGTATGAAATCAAACTCATATGAAAGATCTAATCACGGTCTCCTATAATCAATAAATACATGACTTTGTATATAAACACACAGGTTTATGTAATATGCATAAACAAAGAACACTAAAGGTACGCAATATGCGTTAAAAAATCACTAATCTGTGCATCGTATGGGCTAAATCCTAGTTGTTATTAAACTAGGGCATTTTTGGTATTAGGTCTACCCAATTATGGATGTTGAATACGGTAACTTGTAACTTGATATTGTTAATTATGCCTCAAATTTTTTTTATCATTTTATACCACTATGGTTATTAAGTATATCAATTATCATAAGGAAGTTCTGTCACACTTGCCCTCAGCATTGAAGCCACAATGTAAATCTCCGTGTAAAATAATTTCCTACAGTTGTTGAAGAAATAGAAGATAGGTTTGATTTCTTCACACAGCAGAAACACGTTAATGCTAGTTTCTCATTTACAATGATGTTAAGGTATAATGGAGAACAGGTGCTTGGTAATTAGCAACAAAAGAATGTGCTCATGATCAAACTGCATGGAACAAGCCTATAATTTTCTAGATGGCAGAGCTCTTCTTTATTACAGTTCCCCCATTTTTTTTGACTATCTGGATAAGAACATGTTGCAGACATAAGCACATAAACTGCATATAAACTATTTACTATATGTTGATTTCATGCAGTCTGGTTTAATACAATTTACAAATGCACACCTTCTGTTGATTGATCACTTGTCCTAGCTAATTAGAACAGAGGCATGCACTGTGGCTCCTTTATTTATTCACTTCTGTTTGTATGCACATATTGTATAGTGTAATATTTTATAAATTTGGTGGATTGATATATCTTCTTTTGATAATTATAGCATTTCTGAAAAATGTCTGACATATCCAAAAGGGCATTTGTTGAGCTTGCCGTTGATGGCAGCAACTACTTGACTTTGGCCTTGGATGTTGAAATCTACATAGATTCTTGTGATTTAAGCAGCACTATTGATCCAGCTTCTCAGAGCACCTCTGCCCAGAAGGCAAAGGCATTAATTTTTCTTCGTCATCATCTCAACAAAGACCTGAAAAATGAGTACCTTACTGAAAAAGATCCTGCTATTCTCTGGCAATCCCTAAAGGATCGCTTTGACCAACAGACGACTATTATGCTTCTGCAAGCACAGTATGATTAGTTGAACTTGCGATTTCAGGATTTTAAATCCGTAACTGAATACAATTCAACTCTCCACTGCATTGTCTCACAGCTGAAGCTCTGTAAGCAGAACATTACAGAGGATGAATTGATTGAAAAGACCCTCTTTACATTCCATGCAAGTAATCTTATACTCCAGCAGCAGTACAGGACCAAAAACTATTCAAAACACTCTGAATTGATCTCTGTGTTACTAGTTGCAGAGAAACACAACTAACTTCTGATGCGAAACCATAATTCATGACCAGTTGGTTCACAAACTGTGCCTAAAGCACATGCCACAAATCAGAGTAATACTCATGGACGTGGACATGGTAGAGGTCGTGGACGTGGTCGCGGGTCTTATTGTGGTGGTAGAGGTCGTGGTCGTCGCAATGCTTATGGTCTTCAGGACCGTGGCAAGGGTCAGAACAAGGATAGATCTCCTTCAAACAAGCCTAACTCTCATCAACAGGTTGCTAATAACAAGCAAGCTTGCTATCGATGTGGATGTGAGGACCACTGGTCTCACACATGTCGTACACCGAAACATTTGGTTGAGGCCTATCAGAGAATGATGAAGGACTCAAAGGGGAAGTCAAAACAAGGTGAAAAACATCATGCCAGTTTGCCTGAAGCAAACATGGCCCTAAAAGATGACAATTATGATGATAACCTGAATCTGGACGATGATGACTTATTGAAGATGGAGCTTGATGATTTTGATGACCAGGACTGATCATGTTATTTATCACTATCTATGCATGTTTTATTAGTCTATTTCGTTTTTTAGACATGTTCTAGTTACTTTTGTTAAGATAATTTGGAATTTTTCGAGACTTATTTTGCATGTTTTTTGTAAGACAATTTCAAGTTTGTATGGGTTTTGTTTAAATGATTATTCCCCTTTATCTAATACATAGTTATGGAGAAGTTTCCATCTTTCTCCTCAGGGTTGTACTATACATATATCCGACCTAAAATACACCATGTTGCGATGAATTTAAGATTTAGGGACCCAAATTCTTTTAAACTCTGGCATGAGCGATTGGGTCATCTTGGGCAAAATTTGATTCGTCGGATTTTCTTAAATTAAATGGGGCATTCAAACCAAATCCGACCAACTGCATATCACAATTTTCCCCCTTTATCTAATACGTGGTGTAGAAGCAAAACATTTCCCATCTGCGTATTATTTATTTGCAGTCCATGTTTCTATATCACCACCATAGCGTACCTCTATGGGACCTCGGTGAAGGTACATACATTATTTATGAAACTCCGTCAATAATTTAGTACCTATGGCCCATGTTAGGAGATCAATTTATAATTTAGTACGCTGATTGCATTATTATTGAAGATCAATTCTCGACATTAGGGGGAGATTAGTGCCCAAAATACAAAATAATGTCAAGAAATTCCATTGGTGAAAAAGATCTTCAATATTTATATCCACGTAATAGTCAAACTAAACCATAAGTTCACATGATAATCTGCCAAGAAAAGAGTGACTAAGCCCCATATTCATGTTGAATATATCATTAATGATTTGGTATGCCAGAAGCATATTGTGCCAGAAGCATATAAAACATGTTAGTGTAAAAGATAAAAGTCCGCGGCAAACTAAATTATATATATAGAAAGACAGTCACTCCCATAACCTCCAGAAGAGGTTCATCCTGAAGATGGAATCTCCAGTAAATTGCACGTGCACTTGATAATCACAATACTGGAGATGCGAAACGGCCAAATCCAATTGTTAAGGGAAATGACAAGGGATGTAAAATATTCTCCTATTAGTGATTGTATTATGTTCCGCAAGTTAATACATATGGCAGATATATGCAGTATATGTACGTCATGACTACATTTTTATATGAGTCATTAGACGCTAATATTTTTATATGAAAGTCCCTGATGGACTTAAAATTCTTAAATTAAGAGAAAACAAGAATCGTAACATGTATAACATTAAATTATAAAGGTCGTTATACGACTGAATATAACCAACTAAGTTCCTCCTGAAGAGGAGATATGCAAATAATGATGTCTGCCCTTGTGTGTTTATAAAAAAATTCGAAAATGATTTCTGTATTATATCAGTCTATATTAATGATATAAATGTTATTGGAACGCACAAGGAGCTTACAGAAGCTAGCTCATGCCTAAAGACGGAGTTTGAAATAAAAAAAACTTGGGAAAAACCAAGTTTTGTCTCGACCTGCAAATCGAGCATTTTCCCAGAAGGAATTTTTCTACACCAGTCAACCTACGTGAAAAAGGTTTTTGGAAAGATTTTCCACTAAGCACATCAATGGTCGTCCGGTCCCTCGAAGTGGATAAAGACTCATTTAAACCCAAAGAAGATAATAAAGAAATGTTAGGGCCAGAAGTTCCCTATCTGAGCACCATTGGAGCACTTCTTTATCTCGCAAATTGCACCAAGCCTGATATTGCATTTGCGGTGAACTTGCTAGCAAGGTATAGTGCTTATCCTATAAGGAAGCAATGAAATGGTGTTAAACATTTCCTTCACTATTGTTTGCGGAGAAAGTTGCTTGTTTCATTGGGAAATTCATTACAAACTTCAGACGTTTACAACGAATACAAAAATCAGTCTTTTTATAAGACTTTTACACAATGAAAACAAAAAAAAAAGTTTACAACTTTATCAAACAAACGCAGAGATCGTTTATTGGTCTTCTGCTTGCGTGGGATCTTTGCATGTGCCGGGTTTATCCGTGGACCACCGTCGATCAGATCTGATTGCTGAAAAATTGGGCAGAGCTTCGTCTATCCGCGAAGGGATCGAAAAATCGTATCTCTTATCTCGGCGAAGCGAGATAATCACTCTTCTTAAGATTACCACAACAGGATAATCTTAAGGAACAGATCCGGGAAACTATAGATCTGACGAATCTCTCTCTCTTGCGCTGAAGAACTGGATCCGATCTCTCCTCCTCCTCTCTGAAATCCGTGCACCTTCAGTCTTCAATTCGGCAGGGCTTCGCCTAATCTCCAAAATTCCAGATCTGCTTGGTAATGGAGTCCATCCACCTGATCCAAAGCCTTGGCGAATTAGCGCGCGAGGCGTTGGCGTTTCCTTTGACGTGCCCTCTTTGATAGAGTTGGCGCGCCTTCAGCAATTGACTCCTTAATCGTGAAGGAGTTCAGATCTGCAGATCTGGTCTCATTGGGTGCCGGCGGACCGTTGCAAGGTATGACTGTAGCATCGGCTATGGGGAGATCGATTTCTTGGTTCTTCAGATCTAGAGACCGACGGATCTTCTGGGAGGAGGAGGCCTTCCTGCACCTGCAAGGAGAGGCAGATTTGGAGGAGGAGGAGGAGACATACTCCTCGAATTTTTGCTGGTCGAATTCATATTCGACCTCTTCGAGCACCGGGATCTTGATCGTCGGCTGCGGCACGACAGCTTCGGCAGCGAAGCTGTTGGCTCCCACTGTGGTCGTCAGTTTGTTTGCGGAGAAAGTTGCTTGTTTCATTGGGAAATTCATTACAAACTTCAGACGTTTACAACGAATACAAAAAGCAGTCTTTTTATAAGACTTTTACATAATGAAAACAAAAAAAGTTTACAACATTATCAAACAAACGCAGAGATCGTTTATCAGTCTTCTGCTTGCGTGGGATCTTTGCCTGTGCCGGGGTTTATCCGTGGACCACCGTCGATCAGATCTGATTGCTGAAAAATTGGACAGAGCTTCGTCTATCCGCGAAGGGATCGAGAAATCGTAGCTCTTATCTCGGCGAAGCGAGATAATCACTCTTCTTAAGATTACCACAACAGGATAATCTTAAGGAACGGATCCGGGAAACTGTAGATCTGACGAATCTCTCTCTCTTGCGTTGAAGAACTGGATCCGATCTTTCCTCCTCCTCTCTGAAATCCGTGCACCTTCAGTCTTCAATCCGGTAGGACTTCGCCTAATCTCCAAAATTCCAGATCTCGAAAAATGAGGCCTAAGGTTTGTATTTATAGGCTTGAGGGGTTGCGGAGCGGTTAAAACAATCTTAAGGCCCAAATCTGACTTGGAGACACCCTAGGGTGTCTCCACTTGATCCGAGACAACCTAGGGTGTCTCCCCTTGATCCTCGGCCTTAGCCGAGACACCGTAGGGTGTCTCGTTGGTCCGAGACACTCCATTGAGGTGTATTCATCCACTTCCGCTGTAAATTCTTCGTCCGAACTCGGATTTGAGTGATTCGAAATGCGTTGGAAAGTTGACGATGAGTTCTATCAGTTCCGATGGTTAGATCATCTGTTGAATGAATGAGACACGAAGGACATTGTTTCTTTTGTAAACATCGCGGGGCTCCTGATTAACCCGTGCCTTCGTTAGTTCACGTAGTTCGTCGATTCACTTCAATCGTTCATCGACATCAATCGAACTCCTGTGAACCGGATAGTGATGTTCATCGTCGTTCCTTAACACTGAGCTGTTCGTGGAGACCTATAGGCAATTTTCGATGCCTACAACTATCTTCAAGGTACAAAAGATCTTGGACTATTCTATAAAAGAAACCAAGATATGACATTGGTGGGCTATTAGGACGCTGGCTACATATCTGATCCCCATAATGCCAGATCCTAGACTGGTTATGTTTTTCTCTGTGGTGGTACTGTCATTTCTTGGAGGTCTGTTAAGCAGATCATGGTGACTACTTCTTCTAACCACTCAGAGATTATCGCTTTATATGAGACCTCACGAGAATGTGTATGATTAAGATCGTTGATATGACATATTTGTGGTTCGTGTGGTCTAGCGAAAGATGATATTCCCCCCACTGTCCTTTATGAGGACAATGCAGCTCCAAAAGGAACCATGACAATTACGCCATGACAAAATATATTACGCCAAAATTCTTTTATCCACATGAGCTCCAAAAGAATGGTGAAATCACCATCGAAAAAGTTCGCTCAAGTGACAATCTTGCAGATTTGATCACTAAATCTATGCATACGTCAACTTATGAGAAATATGTTCACAATATGCATAGGCTCAAAAGACTATCTTCTTCAGGGGGAGCTACGTCAACTTATGAGAAATATGTTCACAATATGCATAGGCTCAAAAGACTATCTTCTTCAGGGGGAGCAAATTCTTAAAGAACAATCCTGAAGATTGGGCCCTGAAGGTCTATTATCATAATTTGCCCCTTTTCACTAAGTTTTGTCCCACTGGGTTTTTTTTAGCATAGACTCAGAAGATTGTCATCATCAGGGGAGCGAATTTCAATGCAATCCTGAAGATTGTACCTTGAAGGACTATAGTTGTACTCTTTTTTCCTTTTGCTAAGTTTTGTCCCACAGGGTTTTCTTAGCTAAAGGTTTTTAATGAGGCAACTAATGCAACACAAGTTTGGATCCCGAAGATCTATAGTTGTACTCTTTTTCCATTTACTAAGTTTTGTCCCACAGAGTTTTCTTAGTTAAATGTTTTTAATGATGCAACTAATGTAACAAGAATCTACTAATGTCGTGTACTCTTTTCCTCGACTAGTTTTTATCCCACTGGGTTTTTCTAGCGAGGTTTTTAACGAGGCATTGACATTTTGAAGTAATGTCCAAGGGGGAGTGTTGAAATCTAAGTGACATTTTGTGGAAACCTAAAAGACAAAATGTATGTGGACATTACTTTGTATGTGGACTATTAATTTCATGCCCTTTTGTATTCCATCATGTATCTATAAATTGTACGATGAATGGAAATGGAATAGGGTTGAATAAAAGATTACAATTTCTCTTCTTCTCTTGTCTCTTGTCTCTTCTTTCATTTCTTTAGTATATTACAACAGAACTTTTTTAACTTTTTTAAAAGTTTAAAAAAATTAGCGATTGGGTGTTTATCCTCATCAATAGAACTATAGGGGATCGATCCGACTCCTCAAAATTTTTAATAATTTAAAAGTTAAAAATTCACTCAGAAGGACTATTTACAACAAGTAAAACTACAAAAGACTTTGCCAAATAAAAAATTAAAAACTACAGGAATCTCTTTGCAATTAGGTGACACCACCATTGGGGTCCCAATTTGTTTAGCGACTACGAAGGAGTCCTGAGCAAAATACTTCACAGAAAACCCTACTACTCAGCGCGCAATCAAGATCAATACCTCGATCGATCGAGAAAGAAGAAGAAGGGGAAAAAAGAAAGAAAGAAAGAGGAGATACAAGTTGATTCTTATCATAAAATAATAAAATTATGGACAACAATTGTGTGTTGATGTGGGAGATCATGGGCCCGGGCCTCGCTGGGGCCGTGTTCGGCGCCGGGTGGTGGTTCTGGGTCGACGCCGTCGTCTGCAGCTCCGTCAAGGTCTCCTTCCTCCACTACCTCCCCGGTACCCTCAAACCCTAAATTTGGCCCCATTTTCCTCTCGAATTGTTATTTTTAGGGTTTCTAACAAATTTGGATGGGTTTTAAGGAATCTTTGCGTCTCTAGCGGCTTTAATGTTCAATTGCGTGAAGAAAGAGGATATTGGTTATGATTACTACTCTCCCTATGGCGATTCTGAGTGGAGGTTTGATTCTGCCTTCGAAATTATCTCAAAATTTATTTTCTTGGCAAATAATTTGCTTTTGTGCTGTTCAAATCCTTTTTTTTATTTGAGTGACAATTAGTTCAAGCAATTTCAAACCAAGTTGTGGTCGACGTTCTTTCTTTGAGCTAAATTCGTCTATGATTGAATTCACACTAAATAGCTTAGCAATTTCTTTTTCTATGTACAATATCAAGGAATCATTCAAGAATTAAATTTCCCCTTTGTTCCAATGTTTTGTCTTCACTATATTCATGATCAAGAACGCTCGTTCTAGTTGCCATTGATACAGAAAGAGTAAGCACAAGAAAGAGTAAGCACAAGCCTATTCAATCTTTCAATAAGTGAATAAATTGTTGACTTTCTTGTTCTTGTCAAGTCTGGGCATATGAATATTAGATAATTTTTGTAATTTGGGATTGGTTACAAACTATAAACTTTAATCTTTTTGAAACCTAACAAATTGACGATACTATAAATTACACCGTTGAAATTTATTTCAAACAATAACAAAATAAAGAAGAATGATTTATTTAATAAAAGGGAACTGTCTATAATATGCATATACTCCAAAAATGGACTAGGGATGTATAAACAATAAAGCAAATGATCAACATAGAGACAAGCATTAATGGAAGTACCCTAGAGGGGGTGAATAGGGTATGTGCTAATCTAATCCGATATTAATGTCAATTTAAAACTTATTAATTATAAACTCTTGCAAGTATGATATTCAATGAGATATGAGCAAGTATATGGAATTAAACAAGGGCGGTATAAACATGAACTACTAAACAAAAGAGATAGTGCGCAATGAGACAAACAAATAATATGATCACGGAGTTCGGTTCTTCCGACCTACGTCACCGCTCCCCACTCCCGGGGAGAATCCATTATCACAACGGGTTTTCGACGTTCGTCCAAAACGTTTACACCGCACAATCGGTTTTCTAGCTCACCGAAAGCTTTCACAACTCACACTCTTGCAATCACACTCTACACCCTCTGAGTGTTGGCTTAGCCCGTGTCATCTTTCTCAAGTGTTCGGATTTACAACCTCTTTCTAGGCTTTACTACCGACGCCACTCTTCTTGGAATCGACAACGTCTCTCACCACACACTCCTCTCGGTGTACAAGTGTATTACAAAGTGTTTCTCACAATAAAACACAAATATAAATTGTTTGTTCTCTAAACAAGATGAGAACTCAATTAAGCTCACACTCTATGTAACACTCACCACAACCCAAATAATACAATGTATGAAATACTAAAAGCTCAATATGATTGTGGGTGTGTAAACAAAGAGTAAAATAAAATTTAACTCAATTCAATCTAGCTCAAATATATAATAGACAAAATAATAAATAGCTAGAAGATGAGTTAAGAAAACTTCTCTAATGAATAACAAGAGAGAGAGATATAGATGAAATTGAAGCACAAAATCAATGAGATGAGCTTCTCCTCTTGTGAAACTTTCTTCACAAAATAAACTTGTAAAAACTCACTTAAACAAAACTTAAACACCATTTTAAACTTGTTGAAAACTCTTCTTGATTACCCTCAGAAGTTAGAGGGTATGAAGTATATATAGGATCATAAAACAAGCCTCAAAACCAAGAGAAAATCGAGGAAAAAGATAAAAAACGAAAACCTAAAAATCTAGAAAAACTAGCCGTTATAGTGTTGTAAGTCGACTTGCTAAAGTGTATAAGTCGACTTATAACTAGCCGTTACAGGCTGAAAAACAAACATAAGTCGACTTATAACTAGCCGTTACAGGCTGAAAAACAAACATAAGTCGACTTATAAAAAGGCATAAGTCGACTTATAGCTTTTATGAGTCGACTCGGCAGAAGTAAAATGCAAATCCTAGAGTAGTTCATAAGTCAACTTGCTACAGTACATAAGTCGACTTATAAACATGCACAGACATTGTTCATGTATGAAAACTGAGTATTGAAGTGTCTTAAAAAATAGCAAATAAATTCTAAAAAATATAAAATTTTAGAAAATAATTATAAACATGAAAATGAACATCTTACAAAAAGAATTTTTTAAATTGCATCTCCCAATTGTGAAAACTCTTCATTTTGCAAAACTAGTCCAAAACATGAAATCTTAACAACACATGTTTTTGACAAACAAACTTGCATATTCATTTTGAATGGATTAAAGGACTTAGGAAAAGATATAAAATGGTGTAATAGAGTCTTTAATCCATAAACATATATTGTTGCAAATAAACATGATTTCATTAAACTTGTTGATTAATGAAATCATCTTAAGCACATATAAACATGAAAATATATTTATATATGTGTATTGAGTTTTCATGTTTATGTGGCTAAACACATTGTTTACCAAAATTAAAAATGATAAATATGAAACATGTATGTATGTATATAAATAAGTAAATTTGTTTCATATTCAAACTTGAAAATTATAAAACCAAAATGTGCATGTGTGTATAAGATTGAGCTAAGTATTAACACATAAGTATAAACCCTAAACTATAAAAACTATACCCAAGCAATCTTGATCTTCAATTGAGCTCGTCTTGGTAAACTTTGCGGATGAAGCTTGATATTGGATATTTGACTTGAATTGTATTGCTTCAATCCACTATTCCGCCAACCTCCTTTTGATGTGTTCGTGTAGGCTCAATCCAACCAACCTCCGACTTCGATATTTGTCTAGAATACCTAATGAGAAAACATAAACACTAGACAAACGACGTTAGGAATTTTTTGTAATCATCAAAACAAGATTAGGGAGTAGGCTCATAAATATGAGGCCAACGGGTTTTACGGGATTTCTATATTATTTAAAGATGTAAATGACAAAAAGAAAAAGTAATATGTGTTGCATACATAAATCAAGCAAAACTAAAACTTCCTTTAGATCATGTTTCAATACATAAAAATATTCTCTCATCTTAGAAAAATTAATTAGCCTCAAACAATTAATGTAAAGATTCAAAAATTTATTATCCTGAACTGTTAGAGTGTAAGACTTGGGAGCAAATCAACACTCAAAGGGGAAAAAAAAACATTGTTATGTTCGGAGGGAACAGAATCCTCAATATTTAGATAAAAATTAACAAATCAAAGTCACAATAGTAGCACCAATCAATTGAAAGATAAATTGATAAGAAGAAAGATTGTCTAAATCAACAAGAATAAAATAGGTTTTAGACTTTCCAGGTTACATTGTTGATTGCTCTGAATGAGGAGTTGAGAAGAAATGACATTCTCTGAAGATGAGAAGTTGGAGAAAGAGATTAAATTTTGCCATTTGAGTATTTCGTAAACAAGGTCTAGAGAATTGCGATTTGGGATTTTAGATTTCTTTTCGGTGTGGTATTTTGTCAATAAGTTTGAGGGATTGGGTTATTTGGTTTGGGTACATGGACATAAATGAGGCTGTTATCCAATTAGGTTTTTAACTTAATTAGCCCGCAAAACTTATATATAAAACTATATGTATGTAAAATAAAAAAACCAAAATCTGAGGGGGGGTGGGGTGGGGGATGGCACCCCTCTGCCCCCTTTGTGTTTGCCCCTGCTCATAATCCCTATTCTCTACTTCCAACTCAATGAAACTGAGAAAAGTGTGGCCACCTCGAATTATATTGCTCTCCGTTTTTGTAGAGTTTCATGATTTATGTTCAATGATGCATATATTAGCTGAAACTTTTTTTTATATACTGGGATGCTTATGTCCAACTTTGTTATTCAAATACCTTTCTTTAGATGACACATGATAGGCGATTAAGGATTATGTTGGGATCAAACCTTTCCTAGGTAATAATACAAGTGCACATCCTATTAATACACAGCTAACCAAGTTTTGACTTGTTCATTTGTGTTTTGTATTAATGCATAGATATATTGTTTATGTGTCGACAGTATTCAGAATACATAGCAATTTTATAGTGCTGTCGATTTTGATATGTCAATTTCTAGTTCTAACTTCCAAAATGGGGATAGTAAGTGTGTTGTCAGTGTTGATCTGAACTCCATCACAAGATTCTCCTAGTTATATGCTCATTAGAATGTTGTTCATTAGCAGTAGGCGTTATTTCATGTTAGGGTACAAAAACAATTGATCTGTTCAAAATTATTTCCATTAGCATAATGCATGGATTAAATAAGTAGGAATTCTTGGGGAGAAATCGGGTTCAACCACGTATAGACTTCAAATTTACAGTTTCTGCCATCTCCAAACCTCCATCAGTATCTTATGTAGGTCAAGACTTAGTTATGGAAGTTTTGATGTGTATTTAGTCTTGTCCTTCAAAAACATCACTGGTGGAAAACCGATTTATGTTTGTAGGAATTCTTGGGGAGAAATCGGGTTCAAACACGTATAGACTTCAAATTTACAGTTTCTGCCATCTCCAAACCTCCATCAGTTTCTTATGTAGGTCAAGACTTAGTTATGGAAGTTTTGATGTGTATTTAGTCTTGTCCTTCAAAAACATCACTGGTGGAAAACCGATTTATGTTTGTAGAGTTGCAGTTGTTCTTTCATTATCCAAGCAAGGGTGATGGGTCTTCTTTCTAGTGATAACTTTACCATGGTAACCATTACTTGAGACTATAATTATGATGCTTTGATATGGCATGCAAGTGAGCTTAGCTTAGGTGGTACTATTTTTTCTTCCCTTCTGGAGTTATTAATTTTGATCTCGCTGTTAACATCTCGAGAAGATTTTTGAATTAGTATGTTGTTATGTGTTGATGCACGTTTTTTATGTAGTAAAGTTCTTTATGAACTGAAGCTACTACTGATGTCTTTTGTGGGAGCTTCTTCCATGGCTGGGGACTTTACCATGATAACAATTATCTGACTATACTCATGATGCGTTGATATGGCTTGCAAGTTAGCTTAAGCAGTGAGAAAGAATCATTACGAGATGGTTTGGTCATGTGTAACAGAGGCTTGTGCACCAATTGGGAGAATTGATAAGATTATTATTGATGGAGAAAGAAGGACCAAAACATGAAATCTTAACAACACATGTTTTTGACAAACAAACTTGCATATTCATTTTGAATGGATTAAAGGACTTAGGAAAAGATATAAAATGGTGTAATAGAGTCTTTAATCCATAAACATATATTGTTGCAAATAAACATGATTTCATTAAACTTGTTGATTAATGAAATCATCTTAAGCACATATAAACATGAAAATATATTTATATATGTGTATTGAGTTTTCATGTTTATGTGGCTAAACACATTGTTTACCAAAATTAAAAATGATAAATATGAAACATGTATGTATGTATATAAATAAGTAAATTTGTTTCATATTCAAACTTGAAAATTATAAAACCAAAATGTGCATGTGTGTATAAGATTGAGCTAAGTATTAACACATAAGTATAAACCCTAAACTATAAAAACTATACCCAAGCAATCTTGATCTTCAATTGAGCTCGTCTTGGTAAACTTTGCGGATGAAGCTTGATATTGGATATTTGACTTGAATTGTATTGCTTCAATCCACTATTCCGCCAACCTCCTTTTGATGTGTTCGTGTAGGCTCAATCCAACCAACCTCCGACTTCGATATTTGTCTAGAATACCTAATGAGAAAACATAAACACTAGACAAACGACGTTAGGAATTTTTTGTAATCATCAAAACAAGATTAGGGAGTAGGCTCATAAATATGAGGCCAACGGGTTTTACGGGATTTCTATATTATTTAAAGATGTAAATGACAAAAAGAAAAAGTAATATGTGTTGCATACATAAATCAAGCAAAACTAAAACTTCCTTTAGATCATGTTTCAATACATAAAAATATTCTCTCATCTTAGAAAAATTAATTAGCCTCAAACAATTAATGTAAAGATTCAAAAATTTATTATCCTGAACTGTTAGAGTGTAAGACTTGGGAGCAAATCAACACTCAAAGGGGAAAAAAAAACATTGTTATGTTCGGAGGGAACAGAATCCTCAATATTTAGATAAAAATTAACAAATCAAAGTCACAATAGTAGCACCAATCAATTGAAAGATAAATTGATAAGAAGAAAGATTGTCTAAATCAACAAGAATAAAATAGGTTTTAGACTTTCCAGGTTACATTGTTGATTGCTCTGAATGAGGAGTTGAGAAGAAATGACATTCTCTGAAGATGAGAAGTTGGAGAAAGAGATTAAATTTTGCCATTTGAGTATTTCGTAAACAAGGTCTAGAGAATTGCGATTTGGGATTTTAGATTTCTTTTCGGTGTGGTATTTTGTCAATAAGTTTGAGGGATTGGGTTATTTGGTTTGGGTACATGGACATAAATGAGGCTGTTATCCAATTAGGTTTTTAACTTAATTAGCCCGCAAAACTTATATATAAAACTATATGTATGTAAAATAAAAAAACCAAAATCTGAGGGGGGGTGGGGTGGGGGATGGCACCCCTCTGCCCCCTTTGTGTTTGCCCCTGCTCATAATCCCTATTCTCTACTTCCAACTCAATGAAACTGAGAAAAGTGTGGCCACCTCGAATTATATTGCTCTCCGTTTTTGTAGAGTTTCATGATTTATGTTCAATGATGCATATATTAGCTGAAACTTTTTTTTATATACTGGGATGCTTATGTCCAACTTTGTTATTCAAATACCTTTCTTTAGATGACACATGATAGGCGATTAAGGATTATGTTGGGATCAAACCTTTCCTAGGTAATAATACAAGTGCACATCCTATTAATACACAGCTAACCAAGTTTTGACTTGTTCATTTGTGTTTTGTATTAATGCATAGATATATTGTTTATGTGTCGACAGTATTCAGAATACATAGCAATTTTATAGTGCTGTCGATTTTGATATGTCAATTTCTAGTTCTAACTTCCAAAATGGGGATAGTAAGTGTGTTGTCAGTGTTGATCTGAACTCCATCACAAGATTCTCCTAGTTATATGCTCATTAGAATGTTGTTCATTAGCAGTAGGCGTTATTTCATGTTAGGGTACAAAAACAATTGATCTGTTCAAAATTATTTCCATTAGCATAATGCATGGATTAAATAAGTAGGAATTCTTGGGGAGAAATCGGGTTCAACCACGTATAGACTTCAAATTTACAGTTTCTGCCATCTCCAAACCTCCATCAGTATCTTATGTAGGTCAAGACTTAGTTATGGAAGTTTTGATGTGTATTTAGTCTTGTCCTTCAAAAACATCACTGGTGGAAAACCGATTTATGTTTGTAGGAATTCTTGGGGAGAAATCGGGTTCAAACACGTATAGACTTCAAATTTACAGTTTCTGCCATCTCCAAACCTCCATCAGTTTCTTATGTAGGTCAAGACTTAGTTATGGAAGTTTTGATGTGTATTTAGTCTTGTCCTTCAAAAACATCACTCTTATGTAGGTCAAGACTTAGTTATGGAAGTTTTGATGTGTATTTAGTCTTGTCCTTCAAAAACATCACTGGTGGAAAACCGATTTATGTTTGTAGGAATTCTTGGGGAGAAATCGGGTTCAAACACGTATAGACTTCAAATTTACAGTTTCTGCCATCTCCAAACCTCCATCAGTTTCTTATGTAGGTCAAGACTTAGTTATGGAAGTTTTGATGTGTATTTAGTCTTGTCCTTCAAAAACATCACTGGTGGAAAACCGATTTATGTTTGTAGAGTTGCAGTTGTTCTTTCATTATCCAAGCAAGGGTGATGGGTCTTCTTTCTAGTGATAACTTTACCATGGTAACCATTACTTGAGACTATAATTATGATGCTTTGATATGGCATGCAAGTGAGCTTAGCTTAGGTGGTACTATTTTTTCTTCCCTTCTGGAGTTATTAATTTTGATCTCGCTGTTAACATCTCGAGAAGATTTTTGAATTAGTATGTTGTTATGTGTTGATGCACGTTTTTTATGTAGTAAAGTTCTTTATGAACTGAAGCTACTACTGATGTCTTTTGTGGGAGCTTCTTCCATGGCTGGGGACTTTACCATGATAACAATTATCTGACTATACTCATGATGCGTTGATATGGCTTGCAAGTTAGCTTAAGCAGTGAGAAAGAATCATTACGAGATGGTTTGGTCATGTGTAACAGAGGCTTGTGCACCAATTGGGAGAATTGATAAGATTATTATTGATGGAGAAAGAAGGACCAGAGATAAGCCTAAATAACTTGGTGAACTGTTAAGAAAGATGTGATAAGTTTTAACTTAGTGGAGGAGACAACCATCAACATAATTGAATGGAAGCCTAGGATTCATGTAACCGATCTCAAAAGTTTGGGATAAATCTTTGTTGTTGTTGTTGTGTATCAATATGCCATGCAAATGTGCTCAACTTAGGTGGTACTATTTGTTCTTCCCTTCTGGAGGTATTAATTTTGATCTTGCTATTTGCATGTCGAGAAGATTTTTGAACTCCGGGATGTAAACGTGCAGGTTTCTCAAAAAGCATAATAACAATAATGATAATAATGACAAATACAGAAAGATAAAAATAAATTGATGATAAAAATAATATGGCATGCAACAAAATCATGATATGTATGGCAACCAAAACATTTGGCTCTCTTCAGTAATATTTAATTTTAACTTTTTTACTAAGTTGTTTTACCCTTGCCACTTGGTTTCTATCTGAACATTGCATTTAAACCATAATTATTCTGATGCTGGTCCTCCTGAAACTGGTGGTGCAGGATAAAGCTATGGCTATTCATTGCGTATGTAGTATCGTTTGTGTCTCTTGCGGGTGCAGTTGGCTTGCTGGTGCAAGATGCACTCACTGATAAGGGCCCCTCTACATGGACCGGTGTTGCTGGCATCTTTCAGTGTGTGTTCGTGTTGATCAGGTAATTTCAATTTGTTTTTCTTTTGATTATATCAAATAGGGTAAATTGCAGATAACTCCCTTCATCTATACCTTCAATAGCAGATAACACCCTTCAACTCATTTCTGAGCACCTATCACTCTCGGATTGCCTTTTTAGAAAGATAAATTGCACGTAACACCCCTCTCTCTTATGAATTGAGGGGGCCTGAGTGCTAATAAATAAATTGATGGGGTTAATCTTCAAATTTACCCTTTCAAATATGTTGTCTGATTCAGAGCTTCTAATGCTTGCAGCGGGCTCATGTACTGGACCAGTCATTCTGAAGATTGAGTTCGCATCGATATTTTGCTTGTAGAGGACGCGACTTATAGTGAAAACATCTTTTATAAAAGCATGTGTGCATGAGAAAAAGTAGTTTAACTGCATATTTTATTCTTTTCGTTTCCTCAGATCATTTGATGTGTTCAATGTATATGACGATGTCGATGTCCAGTGGATGTAACTCTAGATTGCACAGCTACTTTTTCTCACATAGTTTATGTTCAATGCCTCTTAAATAATCTTGAAACAGTTCTCTGTCATTGTGACCTTAGAGAGTTGCGACAATTGAGTTTATGATTTTGTGCTACCTACAACTATACTTGAGTTGGACAATGGTGTGATTATATTGCTGATTACACACACACACACATGTATTGATTATGTAGTCACTAGTCTAGAGATTTTAATATTCTGGTGTCATTTGTAGTTTATAGTTCATCGGAATAGTCATTGCACATGAATCCGCAATGTTGGCGGTGCAACTGGATGGTTCAAGGGTGATGACTATTTGTTCCTTGCTCATTTCTTAAGTAACTGTTTGATTTTGCTAAATTCATTAGGATTCTGCCATGTTTTAATCAGCCTTTTCCATGTGGTGTTATTTTTGTATTGTTAGAATGTATTACGAACAATTGGCATACTTTTTTGATACCTTTTGTCTGTACTCCAAATTCTCTTATTCTTGCCTTCGGTTTAGCCAGCTAGCTTCAAAAGCCTTCTCTCTCTCTCTCTCTCTCTCTCTCTCTCTCTCTTAGTAGTGAACGATTAAGTTAGCTGGATATTCATTGAGGATTCTGATCATGGTTATGTTTGTGATTTTAGCTTTCTATTTAGGATAAAATGATGAGAAGCTCATAAATAAGCATTTTCAAGTTGCTCAAAAATTGGTTCAAATTGATTTTTCGAGGATTGGAGAAGACGATATTCATGGGTTTTTAGACTTTAATTAGCGGGTTTTGGGTTTAAAGCTATTGATGTAGCTAGCTTGAGGGACTGATTTGCAAGAACCCTCAGGACTTGAGGGACGTTTGAGCAATTTAAAAGATAACAGCAGTATTGCATGTTCAAATGCATGTGCAATTAACATTAGAACTTACTTATGTATCTATTGATCAAGGTTTAATTCAATCAATTTTTTGGAATTCATATCATAGAATTTATTTGAATTTGACATCATTCTAATGATGAAAATATTAATAAACTTTTTATATTTTTTATTTACTCAACTTGTTTGTTTTGTAATTATATTAGTCATTGTTTCCATCATTATATTCTCATTTCAGAAACGGCAAAATGGCCAGATTGTTATATTTGTTAGATGCTTAGTGACATGTTGGTATATTTTCTTTTAGTTTTGTCAAATTGGTATAAATTTTTGACTCCAACGTCATATAGGCCTTAAATTTGACCGGAGTTATTGTTTCGGCCAGGACTGATGGGATTTTTTACAAAAAAAACCCTCATCAAATTAATTAATAAAACAAAGTGCAAACAAAGAACTTCAATCTTTTTAACGCCAACACATGACGACCTTGATCGTCGTGATCCTCCGTCGCCACCGCCGTGGAAGTAGAGGATGACGAGGAGCTTGGAACTAGGGTTAGGGTTTGGGAGGTAGAGGTGGAGGGAGGTGTTGCGGGGGAAAGCATGGACCCGCTGCAATCTGCTGCATTTGGCTCGAAGGGGATGGGGAGCGACGGATCTGAGCCATGACCGACTAATGGGTCTGGAGGGGGCTAAAGGGGGAGATGAGATGGTGGATCTGAGGTGGGGATGGTCAGAGGGGGAGCTGATGAAGGGTTGACTGAAGTCAATGGGGGGAGGGAGCTTGAAATCGCTACAACTTGCTGCAGAGATGGCCAGATGTGGCTGGAGATCGGCGGATTTGGAGAGTGGCCGGACGGAGCTAGATGTGTTTAGATGTGGTTGAGTGTTTGAGTGGTGGATCAGAGAGATGGCTAGATGTGGCTAGATGTGTTTGAGTGGTGGATCAGAGAGGAAGACAAAGGCAGCTCAAA